AAATCTCAGGTTTTTATGAACAGATATAATATCTTTCTTATATATAGATGCATATTTAACCTGGTTTCTTTAATATTTATATCATTTTTTTATTGTTTTAAGCTTTTCTTTTTAACAATTTTAATTGCATAGATTTATTTTCATTAAAATTTTCTTTTTTCTTTTTAAAATTTTTTTTTTCTTTTTCTTTTTTCTTTTTTTTTTTCATTTCAAAATAATATACAAATATATATCAGGGAAATATATATATATATATATATATGAATATATATATATATATATATATTAGATTATATTATATATTTTAAATATTTCAGTTATATATATAAGACTTGTAATTTTATGTCCATATATTTATTATTTATAAAAATTATAAATTTTTATGAATATTATATTGAAAAGGTTTTGTATTAAACCGAAAGAGAATCAGACGTCGTTATTGGAATTCATTTAAATATAATTTTATATTTTGTTTTTATATATATTTATATATATATATATATATATATATATATATATATATATATATATATAAATATATATGGAAATATGTGTGTGTGTATGGAAGATAAACTGAAACAATTTTGAATTCGAGAATGTACTGGATTAATAACTACTTTCATCAATTTATTTCTGAAATTGAGTGGCTCGCTGATACATTATGGAGGAAAAACAGAAAGTTAAAAAGTCCATCTTGGGAGCGTCAAATCAAAACAAATGTGTTTTGAAAATATCTGTGTATTTACAGTGGATAAAGGCATTTTTATTCCAGTGATTACAACCCACTTTTGTGAGTTCAAAACTTGGTTAAGGCAGTATATATTTATAGGGAAATTATATATGATATATGACATCTATTAAAAACATATACATGGAACTAGAAACAGTCTACCCCAGTGAGTGAAATAAAGGGTTCAGTTGACATTCCAACCACCTGAAGATCCTCAGGAGATACAACAATGGCTGGATAAAGATAAGGACAATAAAGGAAATAATGATAAATAATGTAAAAAAGAAAAATAAAAAGAAACAAAATGCAAGTTTTATAAGTGCATAAAAATGTCAAAAATTAGTATTGTTATCCTGTTTTTATGAAATGATTAAGCTTTAGTTGACGCTTTGAAAACAGTATTTATTTTAATATTTTAAAATAAAATAAAAATTTAACTGTCTAATAATCTAATAAATAGGTGAAAAAAAAAATTGATCCCATTTAAAAAATTTTTTTTAGTTGTTCTCATCTTTATGAAGATTTTAATTATTTTTAATTTTATTTTCCTGATTTTAATGCTTTTAATTTTTTGAATTTTTTTTTTATAAAATCATTTGGCAGGATATCAGCATTATTTAGATTTCAATGTCTTTAATATTTTTTAAAAATTCATTATGAACCAAATTTCCTAAAATTTTGAATATCCCTTTAAAAATACTGGGATTTGTTTTACTTTGTTATTGTATTCATTCTTTTTTTTCAGACAAAAAAATTAAAAACACTTTTGATTAGATTTAAAAATTATTAAATTTTTTTTAGATGAGAAAGATTATTTTTAAACAATAAAAACTTATTAGTGATTAAATTTTTAGATAAAATTGATGACCCTTTATTATTCATTTAGAAAGTTGCTGTGATAGCTTTATTCTTTTTTTAAACATCTGTTCAAATTTAAAATTTCTTTTATTTTTATTTCATTCGTGTTATATGGAACACACCTATTCTATAGTTAGGTTTTCCCAGATTTTAATAAGTCTAACAATTTTCGTAATTATTCTCTTCTCGTTTTTATTCTAGGAGTATTTACCGATCCAGAAGAAAAAAGAAATCATCTCTTCATTTAAAATTGGATCAAAAAACAAAAAAAGTAGGAGATGGACTACGATAGAATGTTATTTAAAAAAAAAAAAAAAAATTGTGTTTTTTTTTTCATATTTCCTGAAAAAAAAACTTTTGATCGGATTCTGTAAAAATGTAAAAATAAAAAAAAAAAACCGTTTACTCCTGATGTGTTTCTGTTTTAGGGGGGGATGTTATAGTGGAACACACCTATTCTATAGTTAATAGACTCTCCCACCTATAATAAGTAGTAGTAGCAGTCGGGAGAGAGTTGGTCAGTCAGTCAATGTTGGACAACCATTAGTCGGATATTAAAGTATCAGCCACCACAACTAGATTACTGCGTTATTACCTATTATATCAAGTTCCTAACGTTTTGTATGTCGAACCTATTTTAAGACTGACTTAGTACAAATACAAGCCTCCACTGTGAAACCACTACATAACAATTGCCCTGCAGGATTAGGTACTCCTTGTACTTTATCAAAATATATGCATGAGTTAAAACACAATACATAAGATGATGCCTTTCTGCTTAGAGTATTATTGCTGCAATATTATATATATATATTAAGGTATCTCTTATTTTTGAAGTGCATTCTGAAATTGAATTGTTACCCCTAAATTTGTTCCATTCATTAAAAAATGCCACATATAAAATTTTAAGGAGTTTGCATAATATTTAGAGAGTGCCTTTGCTTGTTAAAACTTAAAAGGTGGACAAAAAATAGATATTTTTTTTATTTTACAATTAATAGCAAACCATTATTAGTTGAATCTTTACAAATTATACACATTAGAAAACTAGAAACATATTTTATCTAACAGTGAAAAATTTTTTTAAAATTTTAACCAATGTTTATTATTTTCAGGGCCCAATTATGGCAAGTGTATCAAATGCCAAGCAGAAAAATGTGGTTTTGAAGTTTTTTTTTTTAAGATTTCTGATGATAACCAAAGTAAAGCAATATGGCAACTGTACCTAAGTACTTGTGATTTACATAAAGAAATTGTTCTCTCTATTGTTTAAACTCTTACCCAATAAAAAGGATATCTAACATTATTTCATATGCTTTTGTATTTATTTTTCTACTTTTTTATTAATAAATGTACTTTGTTCATTAAGTTTCTTAAACCAACTGTAGAGCCTGAAAATAATGAATTTTAATTATTGTAGGTGTTGGAATTGGGAATCATATCAGAATTGGAAATTTAAAAGTGTCAGGAATTGTATCAGAATCAGTGAAAATATTGGTGTTGTCCCGTCACTAATATGTTATTCTGCTTTCACAACTGAATACATGGTAGATGATACTCAGCTTTGGCGTATATACATGTTTGTGCAGACATAACTTCTAGAATCACAATATTTGTGTTTTATGTTTTAGTTTTATTGAAGTTATATTTTGGAATACAGCTTGATTCATTTAAGAAATTGTAGAATATTCTATAGATTAATGTCAAGACAGAGTTCTTTCATATTTCTTGTCTGGTTGAATTTGCTTAGTGGCATATGGATTATTTAATGCTGAAATTTAAATATTTCGAACACAATTTTGTGGTTCAACTAAATATATTTTGAATGCTATTGTATGCCTTCAACTACAGATAAAATGTATTGTTGGTCATTTTTTTATATAAAAATGTGCTGCTGGTATTTTTATTATAAAAATGTATTTTTATACTTTCATAGTGTTTTGTTTTTTGTTTTTTTTGGGGGGGGTCACTATTTTCCCATAGCTGGGACCCTAACAGGTACTACCACCACAGATTAAGGTGGACCTGGGAACAGCAGCAATTAAGAGATGGTTCCATGCTCATGAGGATATGTAGGATAAATAACATTTGATCCTAGACTTGAAGAGATTAACATTGTTGTGATCAGAAATGATCCTTTGGGGAAGTAACAGTTCTGTGGAAGCAGGTGCTTGAGTGGAACATTCTCCTTATCAATGGAATATGAAGGGAATGAGGGTGAATTGACTTTGTGTATATGCCATGACAAGTCCTAGCTATGAAGGTCTGGATTGATGAAATAAAATAATGTAGCTTGTTTGAATATCCGCTATGAGAAATGCAGTCGAACAGTGACAGGCTAGTAAGGTTTCAGAGGGGCTGTAGGGTGGAAAGTAATTCATCACCCACAAGGCTACATAAAGTAAGGTATCTTGCAATAGCCATACTCACCAGGATGGTGGCGTAATGAATAACAGCTCGGATTGAGGAATCAGAGATCCGAGTTCAAATTCCAGTCGAAACCATTACATTCACTCATGTTCTAATACTCTTGGGAAAGGTATGAATCCTCTTCTTCTCCCCCCCCCAGTTATTGGTAAATAGCAGGGCAGACTGGGTTCTACAGCCTTGGATAGCAACTGGTCTACTGCAGAAAGAAATGGCAAACTACTGCGGGGGGAAAAAATCTACCTCGTCAGTCATGTATCGAAAGATACATGATCGTCTAAGAGTGTATCACACATGGCACATAACTGACCGAGTGATTGATCTCATATTACGTCTTAAGATATTTACTGTCATCATTATTCCATTTAATAGACTATTGAGTTTATGTTGTTTTTTGTTGTAAGAACAACGTTTCTTGATGACCTATTAGATACCAAGGGTAGAGAGCCAAAACAAAAGATAGAACCCTGAGAAAGGTATAAATCCTTTTCTTCTCCCCCCAGCTATGGGTAAATAGAAGGACAGACTAGGTTCTATAGCCTTGGATGGCAACTGATCCACCGCAGAAAGAAATGGCAACCCAAAGTGGGAAAAAAATCTGCCTCGTCAGTCATGTACATGATCACCTAAGTGTGTATCATGTATGGCACATAAAAGAGAAAATCACCAGAAGAGTCCACTACATAGAGGTGGGAAAATGTTCATTGCTATTTAATGGACAGTTCTACTGACATAGTAAAAAAATATATAATTTTCTGCTTTTTTTAGATTATTTTAAATTTATATCTGCATTCAACTTATATGGACTCACAGATAAATGGAAAGTAATTTTGTAATTGCATTGTACTTATAAAATATTAAATAAACTTACATATTATAATCATTTGTTTTTTTTTTGTCATGGGTAAATTAATAGTGCATGAAAGAAGACAGATGAAATTCATGGCAGGCAGAGAAAGCAATAGAATGGGGAGGAAGATTAATTCTATAGAAAATGAGAGAAGAGAAAGAGAAGGAGAAAGAAGATAAAAGGAAAGCAAGAATAAATTAGAGAAAGAAGAAAAAAATAAATACAAAGAATACATTGAGAAGAAAAGGAATTCTTAATCAGAAATGGAAGAGAACAAAAGGAAATGAAAGAGAGATGAATGAGAACAGGAAAGGAAAGATGAAGGAAAGGAAAGATGAAGGAAAGGAGAGATGATAGAGAAAGAGAGATAAAAGGAAAGGAAAGATGAAAGAAAGAAAAGGAAAGAGCGATGAAAGAAAAGGAAAGGAAAGAGTCAATATGAAAGAGAAGAAAAGGAGAGATGTAAGAGAAGGAAAGGAGAGATGAAAGAGAAGGAAAGGAAAGATGAAAGAGAAGGAAAGGAAAGATGAAAGAGAAGGAAAGGAAAGATGAAAGAGAAGGGAAGAGGGATGAAAGAGGTGACAAGGAAAGAGGGAGTATGAAAGAGAAGGAAAGGAAAGATGAAAGAGAAAGAAAGAGGGATGAAAGAGAAGGGATGGAAAGAGGGATGAAAGAGAAGGGGAGAGGGATGAAAGAAGGATGAAAGAGAAGGAAAGAGGGATGAAAGAGGTGACAAGGAAAGAGTGAGTATGAAAGAGAAGGAATGGAGAGATGAAAGAGAAGGAGAGAAGAGATAAAAGGAAAGGAAAGAGAAGGAAAGATGAAAGAGAAAGGGAAGGAAAGAGGGATGAAAGAGAAGGGAAGGAAAAAGGGATGAAAGAGAAGGGAAGGAAAAAGGGATGAAAGAGAAGGAAGAAAAGAGGGATGAAAGAGAAGACTTGTTTTCTCTTTCATCCCTCATATAGGAAAGAGGGAGTATGAAAGAGAAGGAAAGATGAAAGAAAATGAAAGGAAAGATGAAAGAAAAGGAAAGGAAAGATGAAAGAGAAGGAAAGGAAAGAGGGATGAAAGTGAAGATAAGAGGGATGAAGGAGATGACAAGGAAAGAGGGAGTATGAAAGAGAAGGAAAGGAGAGATGAAAGAAGAGGAAAGGAAAGATGAACAATAAGGAAAGGAAAGATGAAAAAGACAAGGAAAAAGGGATGAAAGAGAAGACATGGAAAGAGAATTAATGAAAGAGAAAGAAAGGAAAGAGAAAGAAAGGAAAGAGAAAAGTTAAAGAAAAAGAGATGAAAGAAAGGAAAGAGATAAAAGAGATGAAAGGAAAGGAAATGAAAGAGAAAAGGAAAGTGAGATAATAGAGAACAGAAAAGGCAAGAGAAGTGAAAGAGAAAGAGAAATGAAAGAGAACCAAAAGGTAATGATAATGATTTAAAGAATAAAAAATATACGGAAGTGAATGAAAGTGAAAAACAAAAATGGAACAAGTCAAATAGGGAAATAGAAAAGTATTGGTTAAGAAGAAATAAATATTACAAACAAGTAGAAAAAAAAGAAAAATACACAAAAAAGGTGATAGAGAGAGGTGGAAATAGCTGAAAAAATTATGATGAAGCCAACATCTTGCAATGAGACATCTTTTTCACCCCATGACTGCGGACGAGACCATATATTTTATATTATATATATATATATATATATATATATATATATATATATATATATATATATATATATGAAGCAAAAACAATTAATTAGACAAAAAGAATAAAAGAGATGGAGCATTCCATCCCATTTGTCGACTCCACCCGCTGATGACAACAGCAGTGAAGTTGACGCCTTCTGAAGCAAATCTGTCATTATTAATGGTTTAAACAGGGATGCTGCTGCTGCTGATGATGATGATGAGAGTTACGTCGGCTGCTCACACCTACACGATGACAAATGGTACGGCGGACAGGTCTGGGCTGGGTCCTGTTTGGGGCAGATTGTGGAGGAAGTGAGTCACAGTCACTGTGTTACGATGATACGTTGCAGTACACTGGTGTGGGTTAAATGCAGCAACAATCTGGCGGCAATAGTGGCAGTTGCTCAGGTCTACAGAATCACCATTGCTGAAACTGCCATTGCGACACTGATTGCTACAGAACCTGTTGCTTGGATACGCCGCATCAACACCCACAGATGCAGAGGTGTACACACAGAGCTACATAAACAGATGAAGGGATGGATATACAATATGTAAGCACGTGCACAGATAGATTGAGACAGATGTGTGTGTGTGTGTGTGTTTAGGTAGCAGTCTGCAATTAAATAGAAGTTTGCTTAAGAAAAAGGAACGTTTTTCTGCTGATATAAAAGAGAACACATTTTAATTCAGTGAATATCTATATTTCGTTCATAAGATCTAACATTTACACTATTTATATTTTTTGAACAGTTATAATCATCTTTATTGCTATATTCACAACATTTCGGCCATGAATATGGTAATAAAGGTAAGGACAACAGTCTGAATAGTGTAAATAGTTACAATACCTCATCTCAGAAATATACATAGAGGTTGAAATCTAACATATTTGATTGATTGATAGAGTTATTCATTCATTCATTTTCTATGGCTTATAAACACTTTGCAGGTTATTTAAAACCAGAAAATATTTTTAGATTGTAAGAATTTTTTTTTATTCACTAATGCATTACTAATTAACCCATAGTTCGGGGGGAGAAAAGTGGATTCATACCTTTCTCAAAGGTATTTTCATGTAAGCGAATATAAACCCCAACTTGAATTGAAACTCTTCTGATTAACAAATCTGAGCCATTATCCATTAACACATCCAAGCTTACAGCAAATGGTATTCCCAAGTGGTCACTTATCTACGTACTGTCCTGGCTTAACATTGCTTAACTTTGGCGATCATACAGGAACCTGTTTCAACATGATTTGGTTGTAAGACTAACATTTTTGATCAATGAGAATAATTCACGCACATACATATATCTATTCATTTATTCTAAGTGAAGTTGTTATATTTTTTTAATCATTTCAGCCCAAGCAAAGCAATAAAGTGACTAAGATACAAGGGGTTACTGAATCTGAAAGAATATAAAAAAAAAAGGAAAAATATCTAGCGTATAACTGTTACATCTAGAGCCGCACGTGATAGATGAACAGGTGATGAAAGGAGGGAAGAGATGAGATTTTAGACCAACAAAGCAGTTCTTTTAAGTTTCATCCATCTACCATCTTAAAATTAGCTTCAAAATTCAAAAGTGGCATATATGGTGTGTGTGTGTGTGTGTAAATATATATCATTTCACTTGAATCAAAGTTATTTTTAGTGAATACTAGTATTTAAGTAGACACGCTGTTTTCCTTCTTTTTTTTTTTTCTTGAGTGTACAGTACCGTGGATGAAATAAACAGCATTTTAAAAAATTAGAGCATCGACTTAGATATGGGCATCAACTAAAAATAATGATTGAAGTGATAAAAATGTTGGATGAAAAAATAAAATCCATTAATTATTTAGAAATTGCTTTGTTTATATTTTGGATACAAAACTGTTCAGATATGGCTTTTGATAAAATACAAACAAGTGAATGTGCTTTAAGACAAATGAAATATCACTTGAATGTGAAGCTCTCCATACCTGAGTGGTCAAAGTATAATGGATCTGATGATGGTTTCTCCTGCAAAGGAGGACATAGGCTTCAATTCTACTGGAGAAGACATTTTCTTTAAGTTTTCTTGAGTGGAGTGTGCAGGGTGGCAGATGAAATAAACACTAAAAAAAAAAAAAAAAAAATCAGTGCATCTAGTCAGATGCAGGTATCAACTAAAAAGTAACTTTGAAATAATAAGTTGGAATTGGGATCAAATATGGATTAGAATCCGGCAGAATAATAGGATAATGAACAAATAGGAAATGTTTATAAATTTAACATATTTCTACCAACAATCACAACTAGTCTAACTTAACACTCTCGCACAAAACATTTACCAACCTGCAAACAGACAACCATTTGGCACACTCATTAAGAACTGAATCCTGTATAGAAAAACTAGAATTATGATACACACACACAAATTATATGCGCAAAAGCTGCTTGATAGGACAGAAACACGAAAGGTTGCCTTAACCAATGATAAATAAACAACATGAAAATAAAAATACCAAAAAATGTTTTCGTCTCCATGTTTCATCTTTTGATAAGGCTAAAAATAAAAGTGAAATATATTAAAACTATACACGTTTCCAGTTTGTCCCATATATATATATATATATATATATATATATATATATACACACACACATGGAATGGAATGGACAAAGTCCAACAATTATTTTAAGATAGTTTTTTTTGTTAGTTATTTATATAGAGACAAATATTTAAGTAAATGCTTGGTTTATAATAAACAGTATTAACAACATTTACTAGCCTTAACATTCAAGAAATTTTCATACAATATATGTCCTCTGACAGGAATCAAACCTGTATCCTACACAGAATCGTCATATAGCCTGACATACTATATATCAGTTTTGCTAACCAGACACTCCTCTGAGTTCTGTAATTTATTGTTGCCTATCGCATCTACTCCTCCTTATCTAATGTGATGAAGGCCCAATCAAGAGTCCTCCATAGGAACTAGCTTAAACACTGCCCAATCGGGTGGCATTTAAGCTAATATATATATAATATATATATATGCACACAGTTTTTAATGGTAAGTGTTTCAATATCAGTGATATAGCTAATATATTCAGTTGTTTGCAAAAGCATAAAAAAAACAGGGTCACAAACTAATATTCATAATAACTGAATATATATATATATATATATATATATATATATATATAAATTATCTTTAGAGACAGTTAGATTTTACCAGGTTTCACTTCATGGACTGTTCAGGGAAGGCTGGCTTCCTGATAATCTGCTAAGGTGGTGGTAGGTTTGTCTGGCTCTCTAGGTTTAACTAGGTCTGATTCTACTCATTGTATTGAGCACTTTATTTAGTTATTTTGGGTACTTGCATCGGGTAAATTTTTGGGCCATGAACTCGTATGCTGGACGATTATTTTTGGTTAACGTACATGTTCTTGGCTCTTTTTTTTTTTATTTCTTTTTTTTTCCCTTTGGTATTGGCTTGTTTATTTGCAAATCAAGACACTGAAGGTTTTCTGAGTGAATATAGTTTCTTATACTTATAAGATTTCTATTAATAATAATGATATATATATATATATATATATATATATATATATATCTCCACATGTTTTTTGAGTAGAAATCCCTGTTTTTTTTGGTTTTTAAACAGTGAAATTAGCAACTATCATCCTGGAGATCAAAAGTCATCTCAAATGGCATCAAGACTGATAGTCATATTTTCTGTAATGAGGGGCACACTAACATTAGTAAGACTTTCAATATCATGGCCAGTAGATGGTATTTGAATTTTTAAAAAAACAGTTACATGAACTCAAACATCCTTAATAAAATACAAAAAACAATTTGTAATGTTTTTGGTCCTGACCTGGCATCTCAAGTTCAATAACATAGCTTCACTGTGCCTTTTCTATAAATACTTTCATGGTAATTGTTCAGATGAACTTTCATATATATGATACCTAAACTTTATGAATTTAAGTGCAGTAGTAGATTGGCAACAAAGTCATGTTATTTTACAGTCGAAATGGCTAGATATAACCATAACTTCTATGCTAAAAGTTTCTTTTCTCACACTTCTTGATTGTGGAACTCTCTTCTGGCTTCTTCCTTCTCAGTCTGATTTTCAAAAATTTAAATGCAATGTCAATCATTATCTTCTGAATTCCTGTTCTATTATCATTCTCTCTCCTTAACAGTGTTTTTTCTCTCTTATTCTCTGACACTCAATAACTTAGTGGCTTTATTGCCTTGATTGCAAGTATATAATTATATAT